CGGACACTCCCCTACTATCAACAAGAGCTGGTCCGTCCTCCCGATGGAGTCTACCATCGACGTGCCAAATTTCTTGCTGCGCGTTTTGATCTGCCAACTCCACAACAGTTCTTATTGGCGTCCGCCTTTCTATTAGTAAAGGACCCGTGGTGAGAGACCACGACCGGTCGTCCACGTCTACACCGAATGTATCAGCCATATCTATTTACTGAGAATAATGTAACAACTCCTCCACAAAACGCTTCTACAACTGACGTCTTCTTCATCCCCAGATAGGCGTTAGCCTTTGGGTAATCCTGAAATAAAGATTATTATTATTATCCTGGGTTTTTTTCCTCTTGGTGGTTTTGGATAAGAGTTGAAAAGCCCAAAAGGTCAACTGATGACCTTTGCATTACTTGGTATGATTGGATTTTAGCGGGTGATGTCGGTATGCAGCTGGGGAGCGAATTCGACAGGAAGAAGGTAAAGGCCTTGCTTTGCGGTTCACACCTTCACTTCAGTATCATTACATTTACAGTATGGCGTTCACTTGCCACTGCGGTGTGGAGCTGACAGGAGTTATACCCTTGTTTCAGCACCTGAGGCGGTGCGTCAAGCGCCGCCTCTTTCTTATAATATATTGTGACAAATGGTAAGTGTGCAGTGCTCCTAGCTCTCTCCCCCAACAAAAGAGCTCTATGACACTGTGCTTTCTGCGGTTTCTTTCGTTTTTACAGTGGAGAAAGGCTGGTGGGAGGCCAGGCCGTGGCCGCACACCTGGCGGGTGCGGCCCATCGAGCCCGTTACTGGGAGGGCCGGCAAGTCGGGCTGCTGTTGCAGTCCGACTACCGGGACGCCATGGAGCGTATCCGGACCCTGTAAGTAAGCACTGCTCTGTCTACATGTATACTTATCCCCCTCGTTATAGCGATACTTACTTGTTTCGTATCCTCTTGTCTTACCCTGCTTCCGTATTCGTGACACTAATAGTGTTTGTGTGCGCTCATGCTTGGTTATACAGATGATGATGATGTATGTATGAAGGTCTGGAGCTAGCTGCCGTCTTCGGGATGTGCCATTTGTTTTCAAAATTATTTGTAAGTACTTGGAACAGGCGTAGTGTAGTAACTGTGTATGCAGTGTAGTAACAGTGTGTAGTGTTTTGTGATGGTCCTGAGCGGTCGTAATGTGTTTTGTGATGGTCCTGAGCAGTCGTAATGTGTTGGGCTACTGAAGTACACTGCATGAAGGGGTATGCGTGGGTGCTTCGACATATTCTCGTGCTTCCTAAACCCTAGATACGTGTATAGCACTATAACCTAGATGTGTGTGTGTGTGTGTGTGTGTGTGTGTGTGTGTGTGTGCCCGCGCATGCGTGCGTGTGCGTGCATTGTGTTCTCTTCTACAGACTCATCCAAGTCCATTTAAATAAAAGTGCATTATAGTAAACAGTATTGTGTTTTGTTACAGTGAATATGTGGGGAATGGTGGATATGCCTTAGTGTGACTGGATACCCGCGGGTTGTGACTCTTTGCTGGTCACTCTGGATTCTCCAGTATAGATTCGATGCAGTGCAGAGGGGATTTGTGGTGCGTAGCAACACTGCTTCACTGTGACACCCCTTCAATAATTGTTTTAATGCATGATACTCCGGGCGTAGCCGGTTGATTCTAACTGTATCCTGATCAAAATAGAAATTTGCATCTAATGGACCTGCATGGACAGTAGGCATTTCCCTAATCGGCCGGGCGAAAAATTCGCCGAAAAACAGTGGTTTTGAAGAAATTACCCATCTTTTCGCCGAATTTTCAAAAATTCGCATGTTGAATTCCCCGAAAACCGATGCTTCAGTGCTTCAACAGGGTGTATGTAAATGTACTTGACGTAATGGGAGCGGTGACTTCAAGTACTATGTTGAGCCGAATTCTGATCTTGGAGCTCATAATATGGCCGAATTTGAACATTCTCGATCGAAAAGCCGATTAGGTATGCTCTGTATGGGCAACTTGTCAATCAGTGCACATCTACGATGTGCAAATAAAACGAATGCACGGAACGTGAACTTGTTTGCTGCACATCTACGAAGTGCGAATCATGGAGTAGTATAATGACACGTGTACTAGTCCACCTTGTGTTGCACTGCGTCTTTTCCGCAGGGCCACTGAAGGTCACACGCTCCGCGTGCGTATGCGCGCATGCGCAATATGTCACTGCACATCTACGATGTGCAAATCAGGGAGTAGTACGTATTTTACTACTCCCCAGTGCGAATGCACCGAACGTGCACAAGTGCACGTTCGCCACGGAAAAGAACATGATGACATTTATGGCATGACAGGGTCAAAGGTCAAACCCTGGGGGAGTCCCGGGGCCAGACCAAACGCGCCCGATACAGTGTGCCTTATTTAACCCAAAGGTCAAAGGTCAAACCCTGGGGGAGTCCCGGGGCCAGACCCAGCACGACCGACACAGTGTGCCTTATTTGGCCCAAAGGTCAAAGGTCAAAAAGTGTGCCAGAACCTGCCCCGCACTTACTACTTACCGGTACATGTACTTGTACTCCATTTCGGGAAAAAATGGAAACCCTGTTGGACACCTACAACGACCAAAGCAATAACACTAACAGAGCACGCAAGGTGCAAGGTCTCATCTCATTAGGCACCGGCGGATAATGCCGGCAGAAAAATTGGCAGAATTCGGTACTTTTTCTGGTAAGTATTAGTTTCATGCATGTTTGGTATGTGGATAAAGAAATGGAGCAGAATTCGAGGAATTGCCCGCCATAAAGTTTGTATGGTTCTGCCAATTTCACTGCCTTTCGAGCAGAATCTGCCACCTTTTCGAGCAGAATCCACCGGTGCCTACATCTCATGATCTGACCAGGGAAGCATAATATAACGGTATGTTGCAGTAAGAAGACAACAACAATGCTGTTTGATGATCGCCTACTAGACAGTCGACTTGCATGTGTACAGTGTACATGTATGAAACACGAGTATCTAGATATCTGTCTTTATTGCTCCTCTTCTTGTTGTAAGTAAATGTAGAATGATTGTACAGTACCTCTCTGCCCTTGGGCATCACACAGTGATTAGGCATTGGCGGATAATGCTCGAAAAGGTGGCAGATTCTGATCGAAAAGCAGTGAAATTGGCAGAACCATACAAACTTTATGGCGGGCAATTCCTCGAATTCTGCTCCATTTCTTTATCCACATACGAAACATGCATGAAAATTCTGCCAATTTTTCTGCCGGCATTATCCGCATATGCCTATCAAACACTCTATTGGACAGCCTGGAACCTATTCCGTTTTTCATACTGTAGAATGTACATGTATAAACAGTATACTGTATTTAATTTTTTTAAAGGAATCCCAGAGGCCGTTTAGGCCGAGATATTGGTGTGTATTATCGTTGGGTGTCTCCCTGATCTCACCTAGTACATGTTGGTTATATTTTTACTTCGCCAGAATGAGCAGGCATTGCTGCCTTCTTGCCTGGACAAGTGAATCATGTATCTGTCATTGGTCACTCTAGAAGTCCAAAATGCTCCATCGCCTCTCCCGATCCGATATCCAGTTCGTGTGTGTTCCAGAAAATCCGTCAGTGCGCGCATTACTAGTTTATTGCCGGTACATTTGTACACAGAAGTGAGAACGGTTGCTCCCAGTTTCGCCAGCCATTCTGACTTCTGGGTTCGAAAGCAAGTACTATAAAATGATGCAGCACTGCTCCACTTCTGACTTCTGCTGGGTTTTACCTGTCAAAAGGTGCGTGGGAGATAAGCGAAGAACGGACCAAGTACGATCTTCTTTTTCGGTTACCAGTGGCAACACAGCAACTGCAGCCATACGAACAGAGTCAGACAGAGTCAGACACTGAGACAGTAAAAAAAACCGTCGAAGTATTACATATTAGGGCATCTTCCTTCCACCTGCACAACACCTGTCTCGATCGGCCACCGGTAGTGAGCTAGCTGAGTGAGACGTTCCTATGATCTGAGGCGTGGCGATGAAGTAAAGTTGTCTTCCGGTGCAGCTACATGTAGCAGGGCTCACACTTCAGTCGGTGAGAGTTCCGGCAACCGCGAAAGCTAATCTGGACTACTTACATGTATGTTGGTTGTCAGTGCGTGCATTCTCTCGCTTTCAGCCAATACCAAATTCGGTGCTAGTGCTGGTGCCACTACATGTACATGTATGTCGTGTCCGCGCTCTAGTGGTAGCCTTCCGTGACTTCCCCAAACATCCCACACTGAAAAGGTGCAGTAGAAATCCGGAGTCGATTGCTAGCTATCATAACCATGATAACCAATAGCGATGCCCAATGGCCATGCATCCTCAGAGTCATAACACAGTGACACTGTATCTTGGCTACACCAATCAACGGTCCCTGGCCTGGGCTACACCAATCACAATGAATAGCATAGCTGCATTCATATTTTCTGGAAGCACATGACTGTATTTGGACACTGCCTGGCCATAGTACATTATGGTCCAGGAATTGGAGAGCCCGATGTGTCTGTCTTGCTTCCAGATCTGATAGAACGAATACGAGAAGATGTGCGCTGTAGGCATTGCAACACCAGGTGATCTAATTAAACGCTGGAATTCAAGGGGGGGGGGGAGAGACTTGGACTGTAGTTGGAAGACCTTTAGCTTAGATTTTATGTCATCAAGGTCTACCTTTGGCTTTGGCTACTGTGGAGTCTGCACACCCTTAGTAACCGGGCCTTAGGAAGGTGGGTAGTGGTGTAGGTCTAACGTTACTTTAGCCTCATAAAACGGTGCATGTACGGCCAGTAGGAACTGATTATGATTATTTGCGGTGTTTGTCCTCCTTCCTGTCACCAGCCTGCACTACAGTACAAGCTATGATTTCAACTAACGTCTTTCTTACACCAGCTGCCAACTTGAAGCGCACGCAGTGCAGTGATCTTCCTAGTAGGGTACAGTGAAGAGTGATGGGGGTGTGCAAGCGCTGCAGGCATGAGCATGACAAGCGACTGACAACATGTACACTGTATGATGCTCATACCGGCAAGAGTATTAAAGTATTGTTAAAGCTTCCTATGAACTCAGAATGATGATTTATACTCAATGTTATCACAAATGATCTCAAGGAACAGAATGATTCTGTTGAGCAACGTTTGAGGGCGAGAGCATGTACGTACATCACATGCACAAGAATGGATGATTTTCACCTAACACTAAAAAAAGAATTACATCTATTCCAATTTTTATAGGCTAATGCAGTACAATGAAGCTGAAACTGCCGAGCCAACGGTCGCCAGGTCTACTGGCCATGAATAGCTGTTGAAGCCGCTATAATAATAATAATAATAATACGGTAATAAGATTAGAATGGAACAAGGTAAAACAACCAGAAACACGCATTAGTAGCACACTATAGCCAGCTACAGTGCACACACTAGGGCCAGCTACAGTGCATAAGTCCTGCATGCTGCCACACGTCCAGGCAGTGGCCGCATTCGTTAATTAGATCGTGAAGCAAAGGACTCAAGTTGACCGATGGCCTGAATCTGTTTCCGACATCAGGCGTGGGCACCTCGTCGTTGGCGACCACTCTTCTGCTTTTTGGATGGGTACTTCTTCTCATACTCGGCAATGGCGTCGAGGTAGTCCATCGGTGGCCATTGGTTCGTATCAATGTAGCTGAGATTGTCGCCGTGAAGTTGAGAGAACTCGCCGCGCTGCTTAAAGGCCATGTAGTTGGATGAGATGAAGTGCAAGCACCAGGCGCTGAGCTGGGCGGCGCCGTTGCTCTGTGCGGTATGCAGCAGACCTGGGGGAACAGGGCCAGAGAATGAAGACAGCAGCACAGCAGTCAAGGATCTATTCGGTTTCAGCACACGCTTCGAGGGGACCCATGGGAACATACCAATGGAGGTTATACAGGTGATACAATCCTGCTCCACCTGACTTCATTGTATGTGCTCTGATGACATGCAAAGCTAGCTGTAACTTGGAGAGGTGTGACAGCAATGTATAACCGTTACATCATGTACACACCCATAGATACACACATACCCACATACATACACGCGCACACGCACATATGCGCATGCACACACACACACACACACACACACACACGCACACACGCACGGAACCCATTAATGAAGCAACCACTGCTTCTTACCGATGACATCAACGTCAGCATGCTGGATGCTCTGCACCACTGCCTGCTCCACATCCTTGGTTGCGTACAGCTCACACAGACTCAGAAGACGGGTCAAGCCAAACCGATTTGCCAGCTTCAGGATGCCGATTGGGTCACCCTCCTCAATAGGGGCATGATCGGTGTAGATGTATTCAAGCAATGCAAGAAAGCAGTGGATGTTTGTGTCGGTGATCGTGACCTGTGTGCAAGCATTGAGAAGAGGGACAAAGAAAACATGTTAATTCATCTGAACAGAATCACCTGCATCAGACGTGCAACTGCAATACTGGAGCAAAGAGAATTATAATTATGATGAAAGTACACATACACACGCATGCATGCACGTACGCACACACATAGGTAAGAGGTAGAGAGTAATTGCAGCAGAATCTTACCAACATGTTTTACTTGATCACTACAGTCTCTCAGCATGATGGAATTACAGCAGTGAGTTGCCACCCCACTCTACCCTACTGACCCCACACAGACACATGTACACACAGAAGCATGCACACACGCACACACGGAGGAGGAGGGAGACGAATTATGCACATATTGCACATTCGATGTTCCATTGCCTACCTCGGGTACATCCTCCGTGGAGTGTTTGAAGAGTGCAGCCAAAGCCGCACACCGAGCTACAATAACACAGCGATGAGCACGCACGGTGTGCCCATCCACACGGAAGATGAGGTCTGACATCGTATCCTTGCTCAGGAAGAGTTGCTTGGCAGCTGCGCCCACACAGTCGTTCAGCCACGTGCCGATGCTGGGGTTGAGAAACTCCTGCTCCTCATCGACATTCTGACACAGAGTCTCCAGCTCGGCCAGCTTGAAGACCTCAGCGGCCCTCTTCGTCTCCTGAATGTCACCGCCGCTCTCGAGTCGCGGAGGGTTACCCGTGTAGAAGAAGTCGCGGACATTCTCAAACGCGGCTCCCGTCACCTTTTCGCTGACTGTGAAGCACGTAATGAGGCCAGGATCGTCAGCACAGCAGCTACAGGGATCAACACGGAGGTGGAAACAAAGAGTTGGAATTTAAGCACAGGAGAAAAAAAAGAGTTTGCACACAAGTTACAGAGAGCCACACGCATCTTTTATTTCGGATAACGGTACACACACGGTGTTCAGGCACGGTACTATGTTCGCACATGTCGAGAGTGGAATGCTCGATACTCATGAATGGAGTGTCTTTAGGACGTGTGCGCAGGTGTGCACATGATCGTGCGTGTGTGTGTGTGTGTGTGTGTGTGTGTGTGTGTGTGTGTGTGTGTGTGTGTGTACATGTGACTCACTGGGAGATACTCATCCCGGTCAGGCCGGGCACGCGTCCAGCCTCGACATCCTCTGCAGTCAGCAGGTGAGTCGCTTCTTGCTTGGGCTGCGACGGTCCAGCCACCTTGCTCAGGTCTACCTTCTTCTTGATACCAAAGAGGCGTCTGAAGATGGGTGATGCAGCACACAGAACCAGGCGGTGAGCAGGAACAGGCTTGTGGCCATGGACGTGGAAGACAACATCCGCTTCTTCGCCGGAGCACGCAGCTTCAAACCAGTCTTCAGCGAACGAGGCTGTCTCGATGTTGACCCAGGGAGCTTTTCCAGCGGGGGGCATGACTGGAGGTGGCGGTCTCTCGTCGATGGCATTAGCTGTTGACTTGCCACGGGACCATGGCCAGCAGCCAGACTTCCGGCTAGGCCTTTTCGTCTCTGGGTTCAGCGCCAGGCGTATTGCAGTGTCGAACACAGTCTTTATGCCATCCTGAGTCAGAGCACTGCACTCACAATATGTTGCACCTGAAGACAACGACGGCGAGAGAAAAGGAGAGTTGCCCGTCAGTGATAATTCATGCAAACTGGCCAATGCCCACTGGCACTTGAATGGTCACACACACAAAATGGTAGTTCTTCCACGCTGTATCCAGGCCTATGTCAAGAGGTGTGTTCCATAGAGACTGAAACAAATTACCCGATGCACAAGCACTCAATCAACTCTCGCTACAGTAAGATCGGGCGCCGAAGAACGCAGGGGCTCGAGCGCAGCCTAGGAAAGTTCTTAAATTTTTGATTCTAGCCAGACCGTTCTTATTCACACGCGCGCGCGGCGAGTCGAGTGACGTCATGACGTTTGTCATGTGCATGTACATGTACATGTACATGTAGTGCAATGTAGTACTTCTAAACTAGTGGGTGTCGTAAATGGGAATGACTGTACATGTAGCAGTTACTGTTTACACGTGTACATGACATGTACTCACCTCCCATACATGTACAATAATTATATGATCAGTTAAATACTGCACTCATGTGGAAAATCCAAATTTTAAAAGTGTTCTTAAATCTGATAATTCTAGCCTGGACTGTTCTTAAATTTTGCCGGTTTTCCAGCCTGGGTGTTCTTCGGCGAGGTGTTCTTCGGCGCCCGATCTTACTGTATGGCTAACAATGCTGATTGCTTTTGACCCGGGATCTCCGCATATCAAGGATTTGGTTGAACGCTGTTCCTGCAGTTTCAATGGTCAGTGGCATGGGTGGGTAGACAGCCCAATCTCAAGTAACACTGCTATCCACACTGCTCTCATCCAGTCTTCAAACCTTCGAAAAATCATAATTTTCACTGGTTTGAGGGAAAAACATAAAAAAATCATTATAATCTATATCTAACTCACTGGAAAAAAGGACTTCAACAGTCCTACAGTGTTGAATATTGACATTCACTCACCAATTTCCTTCGCAACCGCTACTCCCTTCTCATAGGAAACCATCTTGTGACTGTGATGCGACTCCTCACTTCTCAGATCAGTCTTCAGGCCAACTAGGATTCTGGGGGCACCCGGACTAAAATGCTGCAATTCAGGGATCCACTTTGGAGCGACATTGGCAAGTGAGGAAGGCGAGCTACAGCTGAAGCAAACCAGGAACACGTCCGTTTGCGGATAAGACAGCGGTCGTAGCCGGTCATAATCCTCCTGGCCAGCTATAATGAATCAGAGAAAGGGAGAGCATACACGGACAGCAGTAGCCCGTATGTTACAATGTACTATGTATGTTACAATGTACTATGTATGTTACAATGTACTATGTATGTTACAATGTACTATGCGTTCTCTGGCTGCTTAAGTCTGACAACCCATAAGATCTATGCTTTCTATCAAATACTCCGCTAGTCCGGATTGAGAGCAGTTGGTATTAGTGTTAGTTAGTAGTTACCGGTAGACTTTGAATAGGGTTCACTAGTCCCGGCATTCAACAGTCCATGCGGTAGAGGACAATTATACCCCACTGTCTGAACATCCCTAAATTTCTGTAAATAAAGGATGTGGAAAGCCGGAAGGCTTTACTCAAGTTTACTGTAGACACCATCAGCTGTGCTGAAAATTGTTTGATTTATTGGACACGGTCCAAAAGCGGTATCTGAAAAAGGACCTTTCTCAGTTTGCTGGACAGCGACGCCAAGGATGGTACTGCATGTGCGCATGTTGTGGTGAGGTTGAATACCATGCTGTACATGGTACTGTATACCAATATGCGTATGCAATTTTCCCACCAAGGCCAGGGGGTTTAGTGGGTGTCCCCAAAAAGGCGTCCGATTTTGGGCGAGTGTTATTTTTTGCAGCACTGCATCAGGCTTTCATATGTATAATGTAGGTTCAAATTAATGGCGTGGTTATACTTCACTCATTCCTTACCTGTGTCCCATAGTCCCAGGTTGATGGGCTGGCCATCTACCATGACGTTAGCCGAGTAGTTATCGAAAACTGTCGGAACATACTCTCCTGGGAAGGCATTCGTCGTGTAGCTAATAAGAAGACAGGATTTTCCCACTGCTCCATCGCCCACCACTACGCACTTGATGCTCTGCATGGTCGTCGCAGCTTCACACTCACAGCCCTACACTACAGGCTATTCACGGCTTCCTCAGTTCCTGTTCAGATTTCAATGAACTTCGAACAATTTCTTCCGAGATTCGTTTGGGTGGTTGGTGATGGGAGGTAACGGTTTTATAGACGCGACGCATAGCGCTGGGCGAGCAACGCTGGCCGTCATCGTCGACATGATTCATTTGACAGCTTAGCTCTGAAACAGCGGAGAAGCAAACGACGTATCGGTTCGGCCGGTGGACAGATTTCAACTGGTCCTCCCGGGATCCCACTCCCAGTCAAATCCAAAAGGAGGTGATGAACGCAGTTTTGCTACGATCACAAAAATAGTGCTCCATCAGTCCATGTGCACGGATATGCCAAGTGAGTGAGTCTGCGACGACATCGTGTAGGCTTCGTACCATAGCTAGCTGCATGCACTGATCACAAACATGCCGTCATTGATCAATGATCAAGCGAGGCAAATCATGCGTTTCGTGCACTGCATGCACTGTGCAGGGAATGACAGCATCGTATCAAAATAGCCTGCATGCCGGACTCAGTCAGTCAGGTGATCAAACCTACTGTTCAAAAGTAACACGTAATGTCGTTAGTTACTAACCCAGACGATAATGCCTACATACTATTACTAGGGGTAAGCGGATTATGCCATTTGGCATAATCAGGTCCTTTTTGCGAAGGAGCATAAAATGGCATCCGAGAATCAAGGGCAGATGCCCAATGGGCAATGAGGACACACCTGCTATTGAAGGACCATACATAGCGCTTCTTGTCGATTTGGAATAATATTTTAGCAGCCACTATAGGACATCTTCCAAAAAGGACCAAAAGTTCAGCGTTTGCTTGTGAATCATTAAATTTTGGTATTCCTCTTGCATATTATAGGGCTTGAAAGTGATGACGTCAAAAACGGCCAGGGAGTAGTAAGTTTACATCAGATTTCTATTTTGGATCCACACTAAGGTGTGACTTTGCTATTGCCTAAGTACCAGTATGTGGGTGCATAGCAACCCACTCATGTCGCATGCAGGGGTGACTTTTACTTCGCCACCAGTTGTAACCCCGCCCCCACTAGCCAAATCAGTCAGTTTCACTGGTTACATCACCTTGCTGTGAGTAAGGCGGCTTGAAATGTGCTTGGATCCATACAAAAACTGGATCCAAGTGGATCCAATTTTTGAATTTTTGAAATTGTTGCTATGCTGTGACGTAGCACTTTCAAGCCCTATTGTCTTGTACTTCCACAAAGCCAACAGTCCACATCATGGCAATGGTCTGAGTTCTTTATTTTCATGACGATTATCTATTCTTTTGGTCTTTTTGGTGAAGCATATAAAAGCATAATTGGCTGTTTCCTCGAGCATCCTGCCATCCGCTAGATCATAATCTGGTCATTTCAGTTCCGAGCATAATCCGCTTACCCCTAGCTGCATTCAGTAAGGTAAGTACACACCAGAGCCGTTTGGCATCGGCGTTGCCCCTGCAGTCGGCCGTTTCAGCTGCCGCAGCCTGGCTTCGCAGATGGCACCTCCTCGTCAACGCCACAAAGACCGTTACCTTGTCGTTCACACCAAACCACCAACTCAACATCACTCTTAGCGACACACCCCTATTAAAAGCAAGTCAAGGAACACCGTCACCTTGGAATCATACTACAGTACAAAACAACCTCCATGGAACTCACATGTCACGCACATAATAACCAAAATCCAAAAAAACTTCACCAACTCAGTCTGCTCGTAATCTACACCGCCTACATTCGCCCAGTTATAGAGTATGGCTGTCTCGTGTTATCCAATACCACCCGCACACAGAAGGACCAATTAGAACGCGTTCAGCGACGACCAGCCCGTATCTGCTTGCGGACCCCCCCCCCCCTTTTGCACCAGTCCATCACAGCTCACTTCTTCACCACCTCCAACTTCCCACATTAGTCCCCCGGCAACTCTTACGACAGGTTACTCTTGCCCACAACATCAAGTACATCCGAGCTCCCCTTCACCTGCAACAGCCTCACCTTGCAGGACCAATTACAGAGCAGCCATATGCACTACGACACATGAGAACATCACACACACGTCCAACGCCAACTTGTCCGCCACCTTCGAACTAACCAGTGCCTCCCTTCTACCCAATTTGCCTACCGTCAGCACCACTCCACTGAGGATGCCCTCTGCCTTCTCACTGACAGTCTCTTCGCTTCCAAGGACAGGGGAAATGTGACCGGACTATGCACATTGGACATGTCCAAAGCATTCGACAAAGTCCGCCACACACCGCTTATTGTCGATCTGTTTGACGTCGGTGTGTGCGGATCGGCCCTCACCTGGTTTGCCAGCTACCTAACTGTGCGAAGTCTGCAGGCAACGGAGACTGCTGTGGTTCGGCCATGTAGTGAGGGAAGGCGAAGAATCGTCCTCTTTCCAAGCCCTCCTAATGTCAATCAACACAACAGACATACGACGACCCCGAGGACGACCACGTCTGAGATGGATCGACGTTGTCAAGAAAGACTTACAATGCATTAATCTGTCGCTTCTGGATGCTGTGCAATCTGCTTCTGATAGAGCTGCTTGGCTCGAAATTGTTAACAGATGCGTTGACCTCATGCAATGAGTGATATGCGAATTGTCATTATTATTATTATTAATATTAACTGTGCGAGAGCAGATGGTCTGCATTGGGCCAACCACGAGTCAGGCCACTCCCTGCACGTGCGGTGTACCACAAGGATCTGTGCTAGGTCCTGTTCTATTTTCGATTTACACCCGCGACGTCCCCTCCGTCCTGCATTCCCCTTCACCCAGCATCCAGTTTGTGGACGACATAGCATTGTATTCCTCGCAGAGTTCTGTTGGGGCTGTGTCTGCTACGCTTACGACGGCAGTCACCAACCTACACAGGCTTGGGGCCTTGTCCTCAACCCTACCAAAAGCCGTGCTGTGACCTTTCTTCCTCGCCGACAGGTGGACAACCCTCTCGTAACTGTCCAGTGTCGTGGAGTAGCCGTTCTACAACATACCTCGGTGTTGTACTTGATAGTAAGCTTTCATGGGACGCTCAAGTCGACCGAATTGTCAGCAAAACTACCCGTAAGATTGGTGCGCTGTGGCGAGCCCGTCGCTCCCTATCCCGATCTGCACGGCGTCTCTTCGTCCAGGCTGTTGTCATCCCTGACATAGTCTATGGCAGTAATGCCTTCTTCCCCGCGCTCCTTGGTCGCCAGCTTGATCGCCTGGGTCTGCTACAGAACAGGGCTATCCGAGCTATCGACGGCCACCCACCCTACACCACCGTGCATCCCCTACTGGTGCAGCACTGGATAGGCGAACTCAGCAAGCGCAAGATACTAGTGTTGGTCTGGAGGTGCCTTCACGGGAAATCTAGTGCCACGTTGTCTGTACTGTTCGTCAGATCTGCTGGGCAGGAGAACCCGTCATCAGAGGTCCAGTGGTCTGCTCAGTCAGCCATCCTCCGCTCGCTCTGGCGCTTCTCGGCCGTCCGTCGCAGGATCTGCACTCTGGAACCTGCTGCCGGATGACGTTCGGACCATAGCAAGACAGAAAAGGTTTAGCATAAGTTGCCTACCATATTGTTGCTCAGACTAACCCTCCCCCTAGCTCTCCTCGACCACCCTGTCACACCTGATACTCGCTTGACTCCTCTGTCAGATACTTCTTCTTTCGTAATTTTCTAAGTCCTGTCCTCTCTTTTCTAAATGCGGCTTATCCATTCACCTTTATATCATTGGGCCTAGTTCCCGTTTATTGTGCGAATTAAAATAAACCAACCAACCAACATACCGACACACCAGCTCACCCATCAACCTGTCCCTTCACAGTTTCAACCAACTACCCCCGACCTGCGTGAAACAAATAGCAAGCATGCGTTTAAATCAATGGTGTCTAGCCTCATTCTATCATCCATATGCTCCTGTAGTAGCTCACACTGTACCTCATCGTAACCCCATCCCTCTGCAATGTATTGGCTTCCTTACTTGCTGGACTGATTGTATATGATTCTGGACGGATTCGAATCTCAATTATCTTCCTTATCGGCCATGGGCCATCGTGGAAATAAAGAATAATAAATTAATAAAGTAAAGTTCGCACGTCCGCGTTATAACCTGCTATACAATTGCGTTGAGAAACACAACCAGCTTAGGAAGTTTCGTCAGTAGTTGAGTCAAATCCCGCTGTCGAACAGTAGGGCAGGCGGAGTGCAAGCAAAGACGAGTAACATTAGTTGCTGCCTCTCAAGTCAAGATCCCCAGTGCCACCAGAGGTCAGGTCAGGGTGACTAAAATCTGCACCTACTGACCATCCGCAGTATTTGGATCTCACAGACCAGTACTCGTTGCTGCTAAGTAATAGTTGTGGAACGTTTTGCCCCCCCCCCCCCACCATTATAGTCCTACCCAGTACCACATCCAAATTCAAGCGTCTATTGACAGTCTACTTTCATGGCTAATGCTAGGCTAAGGATGGTCCTTATCTCGAGAGATCTTTACAAGTTGTAGGCTCTCTGGTTTCTTCACTCCGCTATCCAGGCTACATGTACACTCAATCCGTGGACAGAACTGTTTCGTTTTGTACATGTATCTTATCTAACACTAAAGACATTAATTTTTGAAGTCAGAAGTCTCGAGTGCGCGAACCAACAGCCTTCCAGCTTGGAAGGTTCTATAAGTTATGAAATAGAATGAGAAAGGGGAAGGTGAGCGCACTCAAGACGAAACCAAGCTAAGCATCACAGTGAGCTAAGAATGTTAGCTTTGACAAAATGGTGACGAAAGACGAAGGACCACCACACAGGACGGCCACGGCTCACTTCCAGAACGCGAAACGACAACCATCCATCTTCGGACGCTCATGTTTATCGGAGATAAGCAAAAAGAGGGGAAGTTACGCGGACACGAAGTGAGACAGACCGGACCGTGACAGTACTATCTCTTCGTATAGTAACTACATGCAGAATGGGAACTTGAATGGAACTTGTGGGTGGACTAACAGAATTTTTCTGTTTGGCGCGCATGAGCAGTGCTGAAACCGAGACCCGGGCCTTGGTCGGTTGAGCTGCTCTTGCCCCGCCTCCACTGCTTCGGCTGCCATCCCTATGTGCATCCCTGTGCGTTTTTGCCGGTATTTGCACCATGATGGTTTGTGGCTATTTTGTCAAAAACAAAAAACAAAAAACAAAAACAAAAAAAACAAAAAACAAACGACTACAGTGACAGTGCTAACTGTTGCACCTTCTGACTACACAGCATCTTGCTTATATTTTAAGTTATAAGTCATAAGGCCAAGTAAAAAAAAAAGCTAGATGATCGTCCCCGTCCGCCCCAGTTTTTGTCAGCGCCCCAAGAAATATTTTATTTTTTAAATCGTGAGTTTTACTATATGGACCACATACTACTAGTATATCACAACGTCAGTATCGATCTGCTGAAGAAAGAAAAAGAAAAAAAGAAAAAAAAAGAAAAAAAGAGAAAAAAAACCTTGATGTTGTTGTGTACACTGTGTGCATGAGAGGGTAAAAAGTAAAAAAATAAAAATAAAATCCTCCCGCCCTCCCCGATTTTTCCAAAAAAAAGGACGATCATCTAGTAATTTTTTTTACTCGGCCTAAGCTTACGTGTGTTAGTGTGTTGCTTAGATCAGTGTTGGACGGTTAGTAAGTGTGTGATTCTTATCAGTATTATTGCATTCTTGTCTCCGAGGAAACTGTTGGATAAACCACGGGTAATAACCATACGGTAATATGTCACGATCATTATGGTTATTTCTTTTAATTTTAATCCTTTGCTCTCCATTCGAGTGTAGGACACCTGATGAGACGTCAGAACTCATACGGCGAAACGTACATGTCTCCAGTGCCCTCACACGTGTAATTATGTTGTTATTCATAACAAGGAGGTCAGCACAAACGCAATTGCACCTTTGTGATCAGTGATCACTCCCGTGATCGTTTCGGAGTGATCATCAGCGCATGCCAGTCCAGGGAAAGCAAACTATGGTACGTGAAGAGGTTATAAACAAGAGGATTGCATCGAGAGAAGAAATTAATTAAGGGTAGGGAAGCAAAAAGCAGTGGCTCACTCTCTCAACTAGAATACCGATCTTCAAAGGCGTTCCGTGCGTTCTCACCAGGGACAATTGCAGGCAAACAGCGATGTGGATGTCTTACTCGTCGCAGTCACACAGCAGATGGTGTTCATGTGACAAGTACGCTATAATACACCATGGTTAATTAATACATGTAATGCTATAGTGGTTGGCATGGGATTTACGTGCATTCATGTCAGTGGCAGGCATGTGCACTTGCACAAACTCATTCCTCAATCAGTTGTTTATAATGTCAACCCTGCATTGTTCTACTTCCACCAGTGAATACATGTTGTATACGAATAGTGGTATGTAAGCATTTTAATAAGTATTAGTAACGTTATGTGCCCTTAAAACGCAATAATGAGACTTCAAAGCACACACACACACACACACACACACACACACACACACGCACACACACACACACACACACACACACACCTACATTTTACACTAAACATCCAGTGATACACTAGTTTTGGCACTGGCCTACATTGCAAGTCTTACTACAGCTGACTATGTGAACATTCAGCTACTAAGCACTGCTTTCTCGGTTCTTCATTTGCTGACTGGATATAATGGGTTGCTGGTACTTGCAACATGTATTCGTGTGCAGAGACAAAGACTCGTGTATGTTCTCCAGCGCTTCAGCTTCAAATAATATGAATTTTGGCCATGCAATGTTCTGTGCAGCTATGTTGGAGGGTTCTTGCAACAGATATGGCACATCTCTGCATGATGCGGCTTCACATCCGGACCAGCAGGACATTTCTTCCTGTCCACTTGGTGTAACTGGCCATCATCAGACCGTGACACCCTCAGTTCACCGTCTAAGCCCACTGGCACACAGGCGACAGGTCGATATCGAATGCCAGTTCCGCACACCTTGCACTTTGGCGGCGGAGATTTCTTCAGCAGGCTGCGAGATATGTTGTGAAAGGACGCGTCCAAACAGTTCTCCGGGAATTCTCCCGCATGCCAGGCGAAGACCGGCTTGGCCAAACTCGGCACGCATGGTCTTGTTATGAACTCTGTGGGGCAATGACTGTGAGTAACACTCTGCGGTGGCCGATACTTGATCTGCTGCCACTCGCTGGAGTTCCCCTCGCCAACGGGCTCGCACTGACCATAATCCCGCCAGACATCCATGGCGCGTATATCACTCCATGACGGGCAACGGCGGGAACAGCGGCATCGGCGTCGCTTGCCGCCGAGACGCAATCGGAAAACACATCCCCAGCTCCCGTCCGGTCGTCCCACTGTGTCATTCACTCCACAAGGTCCGCTCCGCTCATCCGTGACGTAGTGCAAGCAGCGCTGATGTCCGCAGCGTCGCTTCTCTGCCACATGCTTACACTGACGGCCTTTCACAGCTCTCAGTACAGTACGGGACCTGGTCTGCCAGCTACTTGCTGTAAGACGTCTATCAGTGCATTTGGTGGCCTGCTTGCACGGACTCCAGGCACTCCACAGGGATAATGTACACATGGGCAAGCACTCAGTTCCACAGTCTCGTGTTTCTACTGGCTTGGTCCATGCCACACCACGAGGCAGATAACCAGGTGAGCAGAGCAGATCATCAACACGCTGTGACGCATTGCCGGGACTTGAGCCGGACACTTGGCAGAACACTTCCCTGACCTGGCGGCAACGAACGTTACCCTCATTGTCCATCTCCTGCGTGCAGTTAGACCAGTCACTGTAAGACCATTCGTACAGGCGACTGCATTTCCGCACGCCTAGCTTGACCGCATCGGAAGGGGTCAACAGGTTTATTTTCGTCAACGATGGACACGTTGCTCCGTCACCAAATCGAGGCGCTGTGACCGTGCGGCTGCGACTGACGGTGAAATTGGTTGGCCAGACAGCATGAACGCCCTCAACGGACAGAATGCAAACGCCAGGCAGATTATGTGAATAGGTCCATTCACTCCAGGGCGACACACGACAATCGCGCGGAACCACACACGTTGAGTATGTCACTTTGTCCCGTGGCGACTTGTAATAGCCGCACGCGCGGTGCGCTGCTGTGCTCCCGTCCTTCGTATTTATGCAGGACACATTCCGCTCCCTGGTGCCCACCTGAAAACCCTGTGAGTGCTGCGAACTAATGCCGACACATGTCCTCGGCCAGTGGTCGGTCTGAAGCACGTAGGGTGACGGAGGAGTGACGCACATGCTGATCTGCACCGCGCCGCGACAGTCGTCCGGCTCGAATGTGGCGTTTGCTGCCACGGTGCCCGGAATTCGCTTGCGCCGCCGGCACAGCTCAAATGCGCAGTGCAGTCTGTACTGACAGCCGGACCACTCACCCCACGCCCCTGATCCGCAGCTGGTGATGTTGGGGAAGGTGGCATGACCTGGAAGATCACTGTCCCCGGCGTCGGCCAAGTGACTGCCGGACGAGAAGCGACACCGTCGATACATTCTTGGGCGTCGGGTGGCACTGAAAACCCGACAGAGACTTGAATCGACGGGTCGATTACTGGGCACGTGACTACAGGTGACGCTGCGGACTTGCTTGGGCCGATACTTCTTGCGATTGTTGCTAAGGCGCACGAATAGGTATCTGCAGTTGCTCCAAGCATCGACTTGCCATTGGTAGGAGTAGGGTGAGTGTTGGTAACACGGACCACTGCATATGGAAATGCTCTCCGGTCGTGGCTTCTTTTGAAGACACAGCGACTCGTCTTCCCTAGTTAGGAAGAAGCGATGGACGCAGGTGACGGAACGAATTCGAGTGGGCACGTTGACTGAGCAGCCCAGCTGCTTAGAGAGCTGCTCATTGTCTACACAGGTCGACCAGGACTCAGTCTTCCAACGGACATGCCCGGAGGTCGTTGAAAGCTTGGCTGGAATATTGGACAGCGGCAGGACAGACCAGACAATTGTCTGAGACTGCTGCTGCTGCTGCTGCTGCTCTTGCGGATGCTGTTGACGTGCGGCAGGATCAGGGCTTCCTTGGACATGTACTACCAAGGTTGACAAGAGCACAAACACCCATGTCCAACACCAGCACCACCACGACCACGAGTACAGCAGCCTCATCGTACCGCTGTCTAATCGGTCACGGAAGACGACGCACTAGATAAGAGACTTGTAGCCCGCAAGAGACTCCTTTCCAAAGTAGACAGATAGAAGTATCGTCTCAGCTCTTAAAACGGTGCTGTCCTCTTCATACGCCCTCTACTACCAGCCTTGGATCACCAACGATGTAGGTGTCTAGGTGAACTTCTTGCTCGGGACCTTTCCAACATAGGCAGCGGGACGCATCCCAGTGTGCAGTCATGTACTCGTACGTTTGCCAGCAATGATCTTGTTGACCCATACTTCTACTTGATCGGAGTTGTGGCTGGGGATCTTCTCGAAAGCGGATCTGCCGGTGTTCGCGTGTACGTGTAGTGAGAATAGACAATGCGATTAATTGGGCGTTGGTGGCCCACTGGGAACGGTGTTTACGAGTGGCTGCGATTCGAAGGTAGACTATCGGAGACCTATCGGGAGCTTCAAAACTGCCCGTGTTTTATGAAGTGCCTGATTCGAAGGATTCCACGCGTGACTGTGGTCCAGAAACGCCGTTCAACGTGATATCCCCATTCAGTGGTGACATGATGGTAGGGAAGGAATCGTGTGCGCTAGCTTCCCGTGAGTCGAGTGAAAACGACACGGGGTCATCTACATGATCTATGGAACGGCGATGCGTACACCTCTCCTTCATGAAGACAAGCTGCTAAACTTAGAAAATGTGATGGTCACATTTAGGCGGTGTAACGAGCTCGTTACATTCTGTGTCAGACCTTCACACGCCAAGCCTACCCTCCGCGATGCCCAGTCCAAAAACTGCGTGTACCGTGTACGAGTACCCTGCACAGGGCAAGTGCGCATACCTAGCACACCATAGAAGGAGTGCATGGCGTTGAACACGTAGGTCTACGTGCATGAATGCCCGCTCGTAACTGCCCGGGCGCACTCCTTCACCAGGCTCCTGCTTACCACAGAGAATTCGCGTCACTTTCCACACCACCGTGACTATACTAGCTGCAGCGTCTGCTGAAAGCTAACGAGTGTCTTTCAGCGCACTCACCTGGCTAGTTTCGGTCAATCATTTGCTGCGATCCTGATTGTAACTGCTGCCGCCACGACAGCAGGTTAGCATTCACTTCACCAACTGGCCAGCAGAACGGCCAGAAGAAGGAAAACGAAATCCATGTTTTTATGTTTGTTGCAGAAGCAGCGACACTAAACTCATGCAAACGGCGCGATCCCCGGAAGCTTCGCCGCGCATCCTGCCACTTCGTCGATGATGGTGTAACAAAATCTCCAACAAAACCGTGCGCTGTCAGACACAGAATACTGAATATAGCACGTTTCCAGCAAACCACAGTGCACAAGAGATTAGGCAATGATGAGCTGAAGGAACTTAGTTAGCGAAACCATTCAATCAAGTAAAGTTAGATAGTTTGCAGGCAACCTGCCTACACTCAAGAGAGCACTGCATTTCACACAAATCCATTAGAAGTATCGTTTCAACGTTTCGGTCTTCATGACCATCATCAGTAATGAGTAAAGTTAGATAGTGACTGATAGAATCTCCTTTTTGTTCTTGTGCAGTGGGTACCATGGTATTGGCCTCCATTGTATAAGTATTATTGCATGAAACGTCGGCGTGGAGACAGTTCAATCTGATTACATTCCCATTGCACTGGACCCTAGAATTGTGGTAATAAGCTCAACGGCTCCGCAGTGCTGACTAGACTGCACGCTTGCGCATGTAGTCCCGACGTGTGGAAAGGTTCTGCAGTACGGTAGTAGCAGTACTGACGTGCTCATAGTCATACTTGCACTGAGCTGTGAGCACTTTGACCTGCAGTTGAGGTTACACTGGTACAGTGTCCGAAGTATCAGATATAAAAACAGTCACGTGATGGGATTATCACATGTACATGAACATGAACATGTACATGAACCTGGTAGTTACTGTTTGTTAGACTCGGGTGGAGAGCCAAGGATTACTTTATCAGAAGAAAAGACGATCAAAGAGCTACCAGTTACGCTATAATATCCACTAACACCACCAGTTACGTCACAATCAGCTCATGCGATGACGTTGCACGACGCCGACCAAAAGTGCTGACGTTCTACACCTAACTGGCAATCAGCTCCAGCACATCTTGGATGCGCTCCAACAGCCTTCCAGCTTGGAAGATTCTAAGTTATAGAAATAATAATTTATAAGGGGGAGAAGGAGTGTCGTGCAATGTCATCGCATGAGCTAATTGTAGAGGAACTGCTAGTGTTAGTGGATATTATAGCGTAACGTGTAGCTTTTCTTGCTGTTTGTGGTTAGTAATCTCGTAATATATGAGGATTTCCCAAAGAAACATAGTCTGAAGGGAGTTCCATTATAGGGAGGCTGTAGGGTGCAGATAGCAAACAGTGGACGGCTATTCACGAACAGCCTGGTTCAAGAAAATACATAAATATGGGCTGTTTAAGTTCAATATGAGCTGAGGTGGGTTGAATGCTCCAGAATGGTCCTGTGCTCAATAATACCAACATGTACATGTAGTAGCCTCGGGATATGCCTGGAAATACAAAAATTACCGAAACAGAAAGAAGAATAAGTATTATTTCTACTGTACTGGGAGTGGGGGCACTTGAGCCTCATAGTCTTCATACTAGTACTTCCTATT